TATATAATATATTATATATATTTTATATATATATTTTTTTTTTTTTATATATATATATATATATATATATATATATATATATATAGTAGTATAAAATAAATTAATAAATAATATATATATATATATTATTTATTAATTTTTTTTTATTATTTTATATATATACATATTCGATTGGACATGGCACAAAAAACGTGAGAGATCAATAAAGTATCCTGTGACATAATTTAAGTACATACTAAGTACATTCTGTAAGAATTATTTATTTTCAAAGAACAAAATATTTATAAACGATGATGTAAATTTAGGATGACTTTTATGCATAATTTTTATCGGTTCCGACTGAAACAGCTATGAAGAACCCGAAAAAATCTCGTAACTGTTACAAGATACGTGTATTATACTAAACCAAACTGTTTGCTATCTAGCAAACCTTGAGAATTAATCAACGAGAGTGTACTTAAACGTAAAAATACATCGTCCATGCATAAATTATAAATAACTGTACAGAATATATCCTGAATAACTAACATAAATTATGTAAATGTAATTATGCAAATGTGATTCGCCTATAATGCGAAAATTATGAAAAATTGCTGATTTATATATGTAAAGAACGAAATTTTTGTCATAGTTACTATGCAATTCAATAGCTATCCTGTATGTCATTGGATGCTACTAATCACCCTTATTAGATTAGTGCAAGATAACGCATCTGCAAAACACGCATTGTCCTTCTGGCAATCAGAAAAGATCGCTGAGACACGTGTCCTACTAAGGTCGATGGAATTAAAAGTTAAAAATGTAAGTATATTGCTGAAACACTGCTAGGCAACAATGAAACTTCGACCTGAATTGTTTTAATCTCGTAGTTTTTAATTTAAAATATCTATTGAACTGGCGTTACGTTCACTCTCAACATTTGTCGTTACATGATTCACATATAGCATGATTAGAATTATGGCATCGATTATTAGAGTTAAATACGTTGGTAAGAACACTTTTTTTATTCGCACCCGATTATAAATTGAATTATACGTTCAATGTATAGCCTCAGTTCGCGAGAAATATGCAGATATTGATGCAACTCAAAACATCCTCTTGGTGAATATCAATTGTCCACTTAAACTGATACTAAAGTATATTAAAAGTACTGTGGGATTAAATGAAACAGGTAGGTTAATTATTATACTGAGATGAGATAAAAGTCTCAAACTATTTTTGCTGTGGCAATACAATAATATAAATACTACCAGATGAATTCGACTTATGTGATGAAGATCATTGTCGTCTAAAAAACGTTTCACTCTATGAGCCTCATGCTTCTGGTTTGAGCATCTTCCAAGCAGGTTTAACTTACTTGATAGTCATGTATGAACGTAAGTATAGCATCCTTACTCAAAATACTATTTAACTTAAATATCTCATTCACAGAGGACACAGATGGTAAGATCGTAAATTTCTTGCCACTTCTGAGTGGAAAGGATGCAAAAAAATGCACAGACATAATATTAAAAACTCAAATTACAAACAAGACGGCACCTTCTGTTAAATCTACAGTAAAGAAAAACAACAACAAAAATAAGATTCCACACAACTAGTTATAATAAACTAATAAAATTATATTGAACATATATTTTAAATCTTTATATATAAAATAATGATATTTACATAAAGTAAGACAATTTTTCACAAAAGGTTTTTATCAAGTTCATCGATAGTCATATCTTGTGGAGTTATATCATAGAACTTTCCATGTTTTCCTAATCCTTCTGCTACGAATCGTTTTGCCCCATTCACGCCATCCTCGAATAGTAGATGAGAACTATTATTCTTTTCAAATTGTAAAGCCTCTTCTAATTGTTTAGCAGAAAATGTAGCATAATTTGCTGATGCACGATCTGCGAGCATTACTTTTTGAGGAAATTTAACTAATGATTTAGCTAAATTAACTGCAGTGCCTATGACTGAAAATAAACAGACGCCTCCAGATTAGAAGAATTTATATTATGATAAGTATTTATTGTGAATTATTAACTATTCAGTTATACCTGCACCAGGAACTGTGTATCGATTAGCTAAACCCCAATTAAATGCTTCTTTTGCAAAAATAGCACGACCAGTTAAAATGACTTCCATTGCTCTTGAATAGCCGATCAAAGCTGGCAAACGAACAGTACCACCACACAATATAGGAATGCCATAACGCCTATTTAGAAATCCCATTACTGCACTTTCCTCCATTACCCTTAAATCACACATTAAAGCAAGTTCAAATCCTACTCCGACTGCATAACCATTTATGGCTGCAATTAATGGCTTTTTACATAGTTCAATTTTATCA